GCTATAGTCGAACGGATGAAGGTCTCGTAGCAGCTCTAACTCGCGAGCAATATAGGAGTAGTGTAGCAGTAATTGATTGACTGTCAATGATTACCAGCTGATAAACGTGCTCCGTTGCTAACACCGCTCACTTAAGGGGTTTGCTCGGAAGAAATACTACAGTAAATTTAATCAAACAAATAAAAATTGCAAATAACAACCATACTATAAAAAAGGTGATTTTATTAATAAAAAATTACCACAGATCATAAACCCATATTCAAAAATTACAAGCGGTCAAAATAAAGTGCTAGAGACAGATTTGGAACGGTCGAAAGCCACGCACTTTCCATTTAGCTCACTTTAAGCAAACCGCAGAAACATGAAATGAATTAAAGGCCCTACAGTCTTTCATTAGTGTTATTAGTACATTTTACTTAATTATTATTCTTACAATTTCTGTATTTTCAGTATATCAAAAAAAAATCTTTGAAACAAGTTCCATCTCGTATGAGTAGCGCTCTAAGATCTCTTACTATCTTTTCCACCTATCTGGTTTGTTTGAAGTAGGACCGATCGTCCACTAAAAATGAAATGTTGTTATACCTAATGCTTCAATGCTTCTCAGGTATAATGTCCAAAGGCCGTCTGCTAGACGTTTCCTGTTTGTCGTCTCTGCAGACATCGGAAACGGAAAGACGATAGGGTAAATATGTGCGTCGGAAGCCGCCATGTCTTAACCTCTAGGCGCCTATTTGCACTGTACTCTGCTGTTGACCCATTGTCCGTCTTTTTAACGTCTTTGTATGGCGGGCGATCAAGTGGACCACTGGGAAAAGCTAACAACATGTCGTATCTGATTTCAGTGGTCATCCCAAGTATTGTTGGAGAGAGGGTGAGGCAGTGCAACCCTACGACCCTACCGTTACCGCTTATGACGACGCACTTGACGGCCGACGAAAAATGAAAAACGCCTTTGTCGGCGTTCATGCAAGCGCCAACGAATCTAGGACGAATGACGGCTAAGGAAATTGATGGGATTCCGACAAATGGCGGAGCTCCCGTCATCCTGAAACAGTCGGCTGGTTGGATTAGCGGGGTGTCCTTTGCTTGATCCGGGTTTGAGAAGGTCTGTTGAAACTATGTCCTATTTTTTTCAGACTTTAAGAAGACTATAACATGGCCAGAATGTGGAGATTCCCAGAGATATATAGCCAATAAATTCTTTATATTTAAAAATG